TTCAATAGAGACAAAATGAGCCTTAACAACTTCCAGGACTTTTCACACTTGAGACTATCCTGTTTGAAAATGTTTTTTTATCATTTCTCTTATTTATAGGAGGAAAAAAAGATATAAAAATGTAAGAATTCTGTAAAACATTGTCTTTTAACCCGAGCTTGCAATTGAATCAAATCATAAGCATGAGTTCAAAGAATATCAAAGGAATCAATAGCTCTTTTAATGCTTTCAGAGTTATAGCACTTTGACAAACATTCAAGTAGATGGGTTGACTTCAGGTTGACCCAAGGTTTCAGCCATAAAAAGGTCATTTTTACGGTTATTGCAACACGCTTTTCTTTGGTTTGGCATTTTAATTGGATGCGGACAAAATGACGCAACTAGCATTATCAATTACTAGACCTTCTATTTCGGTTCTATGAAATCTTCCATTTGTTCAAGTTTTATAAGTTCTTCTAACAAAGGTAGTACAGAAATATCGGTCTAAAAATGAAATTCTTGAGTGCTCGTGTGAATTTGACTATAACAGGTGTTCCTTAACTCTCTTAGTTCATCATTATCGAAAATTTCTTGTTTAGATAAATTTGATTTGATTTGTCATTATCTGGCTAGCTAAATCCATAAAGCCGGGCGTTTAACCAATTGCTTTATAGGGAAAGCTTAATATTATAATCATTTTTATCAGGTTAACTAAAGGGTTTATCTCATCACAAAGTCTTCAGCCTGACAATAGCAGTGGAGAAAACACCGAGTTGCCAAGTGTCCGAGCAATGTCATGGTTTGAACGCAATCTATTCATAAAGCCAAGGCTTTCGAGTTTCCTCTATAACCAATTGCCTTAGCGGAATAGCTTAGTTTTTATGGATTTAATTTCTTAAGATTGTCAAGAAGAACCTGTTATAGCCTAGGTGTTGTTAAAAGTCAAGGAATCTCATCTTTAGAGTTCAATTTCCAAGCAACTAACTTAAACTAGATTTGCTTACTCGACTATTCCATCTGTGAAGATCATTATCATCACTGAACGTCTTAAATAAAAAGTATAGTAATGTCATATGCAAGAGATGCCCCATGTTGTCCGCACCTATGCACACTTAAATGCCAAGCCTCTTATTTATACCCTAATGAGAGGATAAGGCTATATCAGTTCTTGTAAGGGAAAAGTATGGTGTTCGGACTTTTCGGGGTAAAGTCCTTGTTTTGTCACTTTTAATCGTGTTACTTTGTCAAAGATCTATAAATCCAATCATTTACAGAGTTTTTAATTCAGTTGGTATTCAAAGAATTTCAAGTCTGCAAATTTGATTCATTGTTCGTCGTCTTTAAAGTAACAAAAATTAAAGGTTCAAAAGGAAAAGTTCAAAAACAAGTTACACCCAAAATATGAGAAAGTTCAAAAATGAATTCAAACAGGATGCCACAAATGATGAAATAAAATAATCTTCTTCCTTATTTGGATGCCCCCTAGTTGTTGAAGTCGATCCAACTCTTGTTACATATTTTCTGCATGATTTTCTTGAATGCGCAACAGTTCTCATTTGTGTGCCCCGAGACACTGTCGTGATATTCATAATGGGCACTCTCATCATACCACTTGGAGTATGGGGGCTTCATGGGTTCCACTAGATATGGTGACACTACGTGGGTGTCAAAAAGTTGTTAGTGACGCTCTTTGTAGGTCATGAGAACAAGATCAAAATGTTCCCAATTTTTATGAGACATGTGAATGTAAAAAAAAGAGAGAAAAATAATGCGAAATATGCAGGAATGCATGATGCATGCAATGTTCGAGGCATTGATCCAAAAATATGTCTGTTATTATAAATAATCCTTATTTGGGACAAAAGTGTTTTATCTTTTAAGAGACAAAAATATCCTAACAGCTTCTGACATGTTGACTAGTCTTCTGCTTTCGTCTTTCACCGGTTGAATAACATATCGAACCGCTCTGGCTTCTCTGGAAGAACCGTGCAAATGTTGAGTTGCTTTTTGTACTGGCCCAAGAAGTCTCAAATGACTACGTCTCTGGCATTTATCTTTTGTTGAATCTGTTCCCCACGAATACGTCATTGGAGCCCTCAATTGATAGGAACTATGTGAAGTTCATTTGTTTGTTTCTTGAATTCGTCAGATATGGTCTCCAATTTTAGCTATCGTTTTGTAATTGTTGTCTTTGAAGGGACTCCCTTCATCTTTCCTCTGCAACCTTTTCCAGTCAGTTCTTCAAAGATAGACTTTCATTGTGCTTGATGTAGACTCGGTTCATTCTGAGTCCTTTATAATGCAACAGAGTGATACACTCTTCAATTGTGGACACCACGTCTTCTGGATTGAATGCGACACATAGTCGCCTTGTAGACTGTCCTCTGTATTTTCATCTCTTGTATTACAACCCCTTTGTCCATTAATGCAGATTATTCATGTTTAACAAACACGTTTTTGGTGGATCAACACCTCGTTTTAAATGACGCGAATGATGAAAACAAAATAAAGGAGAACAAAAAATAAAAAGAGTTAGTGAGGTAAATCAAAACAATAATAAAAATGAAAAATCCTACCCCACATGCTTTAATTCATACCCAGACATGATCTCTATCCCGCATGCTAATTTCAAACAAATCCTAACAGCATATTTGTCTAGTTCACATGCTTTGAACAGAAAATAAAGAAGGAAACAAAGCATCCTAGGGTTTGGAATGAGGTCTTAGGGTGGGTTCTAATTCCCTGTACTCTCCCGGTTTAGGTTCTAAAAAGGTACTTGAGTTCTCCTTGCTGGTGCCTCCTTGGGCTTGCCAGACCCTTAGTCCTAAGCCTATTACAAGCTTATGTGGACTAAGTTAAACTCGAGAGAAAATATTCCCTTATGCCCATACGAAGAATAAATTCACACGAAAACATAAGGTATATGAATCCCGAAGGTTACTTGCTAGGCCCATACGGTGAATAAATTCACATGAAGGCGTTGCTTTCACCTCAACTTAAAAGGGTTCGGAGCTCAGGTATAGAGCTAGAGATGACAATTTTGAAAAATCTGAAATCATTAAAAAAACGTCAGTACAACTATTTACTTGAAAAATAATCAAAGGTGAATAATTAGAATCGAATAAATAAATTTACATTTAAATTTATAACTTTCGCTAAAAAAGACAACCGAAAATTAATTTCGGTCTGACTCACTTACCTGTCCCCAGTGGAGTCGCCAAGCTATCGGAGCCATCTTTCGGTTGGGTCCGGAATTGGGCTTCGACTTGGATTAAATGGGTTAGAGTCGCCACCGACCACTTTAAAACGAATTTAGGTGGGTCGGACACCATCTTACCTGATAGCCTTGTGTAATTTCTTGATCAGAGCCATTGGTTTCCTCTTCAAACCTCTCTGACACCTTCGGCCATCACGATGGGGTCTCTTCGTCGGGAGAAGAGAATGGAGTGGTCGGTGGCCTCATGCATCAGCGGCGGCAAATAGGTCGGAGACAACTAATATATTTTGGATCGAAGATGCGCCACCGGCTGTTTTTGAGTTAGCAAATGCTGACTGTCGATTATCTAGCGACCATCATGCTTAACGCGTTGCTTATGTGCTGCATCAGAGAGTCCAGAAACGCCAACGTTTTGTTCACCGACTGGTTGGCGTTGATGTACGTGAGTGCACCCCAACTGTCGGACTGGTAGCAAAGCGCGACGCTGCTCCATGTCCTTGATCTTGCCGCGCGTCAAGTCGTTGATGTGGTGATCTGAGTTGGGAAGGAGCTTGAGGCTTGATGAATGGTATGTAATTGCTGTAGCCATTACTACCATTGAGATTAACCTTCTGCTTAGTGCTGGAGTCGCTGATTTTGTTAATCTCAGAATCAGAACTAAAATCTTCCTTCTCATTTCCACTGCTGTTTGTATCAATCTGGACATCAGAGAATTCAACTCCGAGTTGATCATCCGTCGTGGCGGATCCATCAACATTGATATTCTGATCATCATCGACGTCGATGACGATGTCTTTGATTTGCTAAAGCGTAGTGACATCGCACCCCTGGGGTTCCTTGCAGTTGGATTCTGACGTAACCATGGGGAGCTCGGGTGTAAAACCATATTTTTTCCTTTGCGCCGGTCCCCCCCTTGATTTCTTGTTCACTCCCCCTTTTATTTTCGTTTGTGCAGGTCATCATTCCCAGCAAAAAACATGCGTTCAGGAGATAATGGGTGAATAACCCATTTCCCACAAAGGGAAACGGTTGAGATACGTGGGGCTCCATATGGGACCTACAAAATAATTATAAATTATTATTAATAATAAAAAATATATAATAATAATAATAATAATAATAATAAATAAATTATAATGATAAAAAAAATATAAAACCCGATCAAAAACGGGTGTCTACCCAATGAATTTTTAGCTCCTGTAAAAAAAAATCTCTATGAATGTTATCTTTGATTAATTGGCTTCTAGTATGGAGTTTGAATCCTAGAGAGCAAATGCTTAAAGTTATATCCTTGTGTTTTCTGAAAGTGCCATTATGATTAGCAAAGATGGAGTCAACCACATTGCCACATGTGTCTAATATTCCTATATAACCGTACCATAGCTGATACAAGTAGCTTAAACACCGTTGTATAACATTTCTTGAGCATATGGATGATTAATTTTTGTTGTTGTTGATATTTTACTTATCTTCAATATTTTGAATTTGAGCAAATTTCATGCAAAGTCCTTAATGTAAGTAATGAGAAAATGTTGCTTTTATCCACCAACACTAGTTTTTTACTTCTTTATATTCAACCTTAACACGATTTTGTGTTAAGGTTAGAGCAATGGGTACATTATGCATAACCATATCACATCGTCCAGCACTGGTTGCATTTCATGACGTTGTTTTGTCCTTGGATGGGGAAGGAGGATGGAAAGTTCATTACAAAAGGTACCAAGCATTAAGTTGCAGGTATTGCATATATAAATGGTAGTTATGGTGTATTAATCAAGTTTCTTCAAAATCTGCAATGAGAATTCTTCAGTACAAAGTGAAGGCGAAATTGATATGACAGTTTCTGAGACAGACCGCCAAACTGATGCGATTGCAGTTCAACGGGCATTCACTGCTGCTAAAAAGGTCTTAAAAATTCTGAAGCTTGGTTTCTGTGTATTTTTTGGGATCTGTTTTATCTCACCGCAAACTGTGGACTGATTTTTTCTAGGACTCTTAATTCTCAAGTCCAAGGACTCTATCATGTGTCAGAGGTAATAGCAGCATCGCCCTCTGTGAATCACGATGTTGAATTGCCTATTGTTCCTCAACTCCACAAGGTTCCAAGAGTACTGCCATCGAGAGTAGCTGCCATGTTTAAAGTATTGGTATGTTTTGGGCAAGTTTTCTTTTTTCTCTTAAACTAAACTGATTAACTTAAGATGATTCTCATTATTGTGCCCAAAGTAGGTACGAGTAATTGACCTTGTGAAGTTCTAAATTTTACTGGAAAACTCAATGATGAGTTTCCCGAAAATGTAGATTATTATGCCTCGCTTTATGTAGTTGGTATTGCTTATTCCTAAAGTGACTTTCAATGGATTTTTTAGCTCCTGGAAAAAAATCTCTATGAATGTTATCTTTGATTAATTGGCCTTTAGTATGGAGTTTGAATCCTAGAGAGCAAATGCTTAAAGTTATATCCTTGTGTTATCTGAAAGTGTCATTATGATTAGCAAAGATGGAGTCAACCACATTGCCACATGTCTCTAATATTCCTATATAACCGTACCATAGCTGATACAAGTAGCTTAAACACTGTTATATAACATTTCTTGAGCATATGGATGATTAATTTTTTATTGTTGTTGATATTTTACTTATCTTCAATATTTGAATTTGAGCAAATTTCATGCAAAGTCCTTAATGTAAGTAATGAGAAAATGTTGCTTTTATCCACCAACACTAGTTTTTTACTTCTTTATATTCAACCTTAAATTCTTGTATTTTAGGTACCCACGGTATTTGACAAACAAGGGGCTCAACTACTTGCAGTTGCATTTCTCGTTGTCTCGAGAACATGGATATCAGATCGAATTGCATCATTGAATGGTATTACAAATCTATTATTATGCTATTTATTCGATTTAAAAATATAATATTGCTATTTTACATCCATAAACTTCCAGGAACCACTGTGAAGTACGTTTTGGAGCAGAATAAGACTGCCTTTATCCGTTTAATTGGTGTAAGTGTTCTTCAAAGTGGTGCATCTTCTTTCATTGCACCCTCCTTTCCTAAAGAGCAACTATTGACCTCCATATGAAATAAATAAACTAAAAGAGGGAGTTACTAATTGAGAAAAGATCTGTGTAACAATGTATTAAATCTACGCTAATATAATACTATCTGCAATATAAGCATACGTGTATGTATAATTTTATCGTCCTAACTACTGTAGGTTTGTGTTATATTAATGATTTAATGCTAGTGTAGAACCCCAATAAAAAATTGATATCTTCCTGCATAAGTTTCTTTCTCATTCCTAGCTTTTTTCAACATCTAGGTTCATGGCTTCGCAGTGAAAAATTAGTTTTTAAATAGCCTTTTTTCTTGGTTTGCAGGCACTTGACAGCTAGGTTGGCCCTTGGATGGAGGATTAGATTGACCCAAAATTTGCTTAAGAACTACTTACGAAATAACAATGTTTTGAAAATCGGACCGGTTCAACTGGGAACCGCTGTCAGGTCCGATTCATTCTAATCCGGTTAAACCGTTATTAGTGAACCGCAAAGAACCGTTAAATCAGTTGTGAACCATTCGAATCGTACCGGACTGGAACCTCTAAGAACCGGCCATCAATAAAAAATTAAAAAAGTTAAAATTTTTATTTTGAAGGTTAATCAACTTTTGTTTTGGTTTTAATGTGTAATGTTTGAAGATTTTTATTAGAAGTAAATCAAGTAATGAATGATGGAATTTTGGTGTGGGGATGTTTTTAGTTTTTTATTAAATGTTTTTGGTATTTTTATTTAATTTCTTAAATAATTATGACGTCGTCTGATTCTTCTGATCGATCTGACCGGTTCACTGATTCAACCAGTCGAACAGGTAGCACTACCGGTTCACTGACCGAACCGGTTCACTGACCGGTCCGGTTCTAAAAACCATACGAAATAATGCATTTTACCAGGTAGTTTGATCAGCTAAGATACACTGATGCCTGTGTACTTGGTCGACACTGCACAATGTTTATAATTTTCTCTATTGTTACCTAGAATTCTGCAATGGTAAATTCACATCACAAACATCTCATTGTAGATTTTTCATATGTCAAGCAAAAATATTGATGCAGATCAAAGAATAACACATGATCTTGAGAAGTTGACAACTGATTTATCAGGACTGGTTACGGGAATGGTAAAGCCATCTGTTGACATTTTATGACGAGTACATTGTTTTGATTTATTTTGGTCCTAGGATTGGTTTTCTGTCTAGTCTTGAATCTTGACCTTGAAAGCATATGCCCCTTACCTTCCTCATTTATCTACCCTTCTAAGAAATATTCTTAACCAATGCTGAAAATTTTAGGTTCACCTGGCGAATGCAGCTGTTAACTGGGAGAAGGGGTGTTGCCATTTTGTATGCATATATATGTAAAACAAAAATCAAATTAACCCACAACTACTATACTATTTCCAAGTGATTTTCAACTCTCTCTAATATAATCCACTTGAAATATTTAACTTTCTGAAGCATATACGAACATTGATGTGGAGAGAAATATGAGCTCAAAATGCTTTAACTTTTGTATTCCTCTGAGTTGTTTTCAAATGAAATCAACAAGGCCTTTATATAGTCACTAGGTACTACTATGCCAAAAACAAAAAAAATAATAAATTCTATTAAAAACCATAAAAGATCACTATCTCATGTATCACCTCTTGGCCTTTCAGCTACAAAAACTCTTGACCTTTTATTTTCCCACTAAAAACAACATTTAATGTTTATTCAACAAAACTCCCCCGTAAACTTAAATGCTTCTACCATCCGTCGCCAATTATCTTTTTGCATTTGTCAAGAAGTACTTTCGGTAGTGGTTTTGTGAAAATATCCACAACTTGATCCTGACTTGCTACATGCACCAATTCCACACTTCTTTCCTTCTTATGATCTCAGATAAAGTGAAAACGAACATTGATGTGTTTTTTCTTTCATTGTTCACCAGGTTTTTTGCCAACTCAATTGTTGATTTGTTGTTAACATGAATCACGGTTGCACCTAATTGTTTTAGCTCCATCTTTCTCAACAAATTTCTAAGCCATATCGTATGACATACACACCAAGATGCTGCCACATATTCAGTTTCACACGTCGAGAGCATCACGATCAGTTGCTTCTTTGAAAGCCAAGTAAACGCAGTATCTCCCATAAAAAAAACACATATCCCGATGTGCATTTTCGGTCGTCTATATCTCCGTACCAATTGCTGTCAGAGTACCCAACCAATTTGTAATATTCTTCTTTCGAGTAGAACAACCCGAGTGACACCGTTCCTTGAATGTACCGTAGGATTTGCTTCAACGCCTTCCAATGTGAATAAATAGGCTACTCCATGAACCGACTTACAATGCTGACACTTAATGAAAGATCCGGCCTTGTGCATGTGAGATAGCGAAGGCTTCCTACCAAACTCCAGTATCTACTCTCATCGACATGTTCCCTTTCATTGAACTTCGAGAATTTTACATATGGTTCTATTGGTTTTGATACCAGATTGCAATTTTCCATATTGTACTTCTTCAAAATCTCTTTTGCATATGTCTCATGTGATACAAAAATAGTTGTATCTACTTGTCTAACCTCCAAACCAAGAAAAAACTTCATTAAGCCCAAATTTTTCATCTCAAATTCCCGTGTCATTGTGCTCCTAAACTCTTCTATCATCTCATCATTGTTACCTATATAAATAAGGTCATCGACATAAAGAGAAACAAATAACATGTTACCTCCATTCTTCTTTACGTAAAGGGCATGCTCGTAGGGACATTGCTTGAAATATGTATCGATATGTGTATTCAATGCTTGTGGTGCTTGCTTCAACCCATAAAACACCTTTTTCAATTTTAACACATTTTTCTCTTCTCTGACTTTCATGTACTCGGGTGGTTATTCGATGTAGACATCTTCTTCAAGCATACTATTCAAAAATACTGACTTGAAATCGATTTGAAATATCGACCATTTGAATTGAGCAGCTTGTGAAATGAGTAATCGAATTGTCTCCATTCTTGCAACGGGAGCAAACACCTCGTCATAGTCGATTCATGCCTTTTGCTTATATCCATTCACAACAAGTCGCACCTTGTACCGTTCTATCTCGCCTTGAGCATTCATCTTTTCTTGAACACCCACTTCACACCAATAAGCTGACTTCTTTTCAGCAATTCTGCTAGCTCTCATGTGTTGTTGCGGTCAATCGCCTTAATCTCCTTGTTCATGGCAGTTTACCACTTCTTGTCTCGCAACTCCTCTTCAAAGTGATATTTTCAGCATCTATGAAAAGACATACAAGGTGTACTTCATTTGTCAAATCATACAAATATTGCACATTTCATATTTTGGGTTATCGTGGTTCATCTTCATCATCGGTAGTTTTAGAGTTTATTGGTATGCTTGTTGGTGCAACGACTGATGATTCTCCAACTTCGATGATAGCCTCTTTTGAATTGTTCCAGTTCTACTCGCTTGCTTCGTTTACTCGGACATCATGAACCACCATCTCCTTTTTGCTTATCGAATCAAGTAGCTTGTACCCTTTTGTCTTCTCATCACACCCAATAAAAATATATATTTTGCTTTTGTCTTCGATCTTTGTTCTTAGTTGATCTAGTATATGTGCATAAGCAACACTATCGAACACTTTGAGATGAGAAAATATTGGATTTTGTCCTCTCCATGCCTCTTGTGGTGTTTGATTATCCAACTTCACACGTGGACATTGATTTTGTACATAGATGGCACATTGCACGGCTTCTGCCCAGAATTCATTCGTTACCTTCTTGCTCTTGAGCATTGATCGAACCATGTTGAGAATGGTTTGGTTCTTCCTCTCGACCACACCATTTTGTTGAGGAGAGTATGGTGCGGTTAGAAATCTCCTTATGCCTTGCTCCTCACACTACTTTATGAAAGCCACCAAAGTATACTCACAACCTCTATCGGATCAAACAACTTTGATGTGTCTACCAGTTGTCTTCTCCACCATCACTTTGAACTTTTTGAACACCTCAAATGCCTCGTATTTTTCTTTCGGAAAATGAACCCAAGTTTTTTCATGAAAAATCATCGATAAAGGAAATGAAATACATTTTAGTGTTGAAAGATTCAGGGGTGATTGGTCCACATATGTCAGTATGAATCAACTCGAGAGAATGTTTAGCTTGATATTCTGCATTCTTTTGAAACAAGGTTCTCGATTGCTTGCCAAGCACACATTCTTCACAAAAATTTGCCCTCATAATCCATATCCGGTAGCCCGTGCAGCATGTTCTTCTTTGCTAACTCTTTTAGACCACCATGATATAAGTGACCAAAGCGGAGATACCACAACGATGCCTTGTCTTCTAAGTTGACTCGCAAACATTTTTCTCGCACTCTTCTTAAATTCAGTTTGTACATCTGATTTATGCCTATCTCGACTCGAGCAACCAGACACCAATGCTTGTCCTTCAAGTGTAGTACCCGGTCTTTCAAAAGTGTCGGGTAACATTTCTCCTCGAGTTGCCCCATACTCAAAATATTGGTCTTGAGGTCTGGTACGTAATAAACATCTTGGATTGACCCTATCAAGCCATTCTTTTATAAGTAACAAATTGTACCTCGACCTTTGACCTCCACTTTTGATACATCTCCTAACAACACATGACTATCTTCAATCTTTTACATCTCTTTTAATAGGTACTCGTGACCACACATATGGTTGCTTATGCCCGAGTCGAGGTACCACAAAGTGTCATTGTTGAAATTGACTTCATTTTGAGCCATCAAGAGAAA